TTTGGTGCGAAATGGATATCCACATGTGGGGAACGGGTCAGGGCGATTGGCTTTGCGATTTGTTTGCACGCCTTCCGGGTGGTCGACGCAAAACCTGCGGTTGTTTGCGTCGTTTCCCGCACAAATGCGATGCAAGGGTGGAGTAAATATGTGGGAGGCGGATCTCCTTTCATTTGGCATTCAGTTAGAAACCACAGGGAGACGAAGCTATTTGAGAAACATGTTGAAAGCAGGTAGCCTCAGGACAACCCTGGCCCTGCTGAAAAATAACAAAAACATCTCGTGTCAGGTGGGACGGCGGGGCTTGAAGATGAGCATGCCATGCTGTCTGAGCTGGCGCTTTTCGAGGTGTAAGATGACCATGAAATAAAGATTTCGGGGTCCCAATTTTAAGGATTCGGCATTGAACACACCTAGGTCCCCCAGTAGTGTCCTTCTTGCCGTTTCTTTTTTTGGGGAGGGAACCCCTACCAAAATAGACTACAGAAAAAAGGGTACCCTTATTCTAACCTCTCTACTGGAGGACCCAGATACTTGCGGATGTGTGTAGCTCTGCATTCCTGTTGATTGCAAGTATGGTAGGTCACCAGGGGAAGTTATGCAAAACCTATAGAGCTGAGCAACTCTGATGAGTGTCCAAGAACTTTTTCCTGGGGCTGGGGCAGCTTTGGTTTCCTTTCTAGAAGACTCATTCCACTCATATATACCTGATTCTTTCCCAGTTGGGCTGAGAGGTTTGCTCGGATACCTTGATTCGAGTACATACAATCCATATATGTATCTGACATAGGTGGCTCTACAGCGCATGAAACCACTGTCACAAGGGGCGTATCCTTCCATCTAACATTGGGAGTAGTTGACTGGACGATTTGATTCTAGCTGCATCTTCCGTCACTCAAACCCGTGACTGAAAAGTGGGCACTCTCCCTGTGTCCCTTTGGTTTTGCCTTGCCAAAAAGGGTACCCGGACCCTCAAACTACCCATCAACATGGGTCATTGCCGAGGGGTGAAATCCCTCCTTGGTCTGGGCAGTTAGAGGGTCCGGGTATCAGTCCACATAAATTCCTTTGGTGCCCTTCCGAGGCCTGCTTTCCGGTGTCACCGTTTTAAACGACCTCAAGGCAGGGAACCGAATCGGATCGCTCGCCTTTGTGCTTAAACCTCTGTTTGGGAAAGACCAGGGTGACGCGAGTAGCGGTCAAGCTAAACATGTTGAAACCGATTGCAGCATGTTTGTTCATGTTTGCACTACCCTGGGTTCCCCCCAAAAAACGCGGTGGCTGAAACCAATTTTGCAGCCCAGCCTGGTGGTCAGCCACTGGTTGCAACGGGGGTACCTCGAGGTAGCTTGAGAATGGCGAACTTTGTAGCATGTCACGTGTCTTGGGTGGATGCGCTCTTTCTTGGATCTCCTTTGTGGCGAACTCCCTTTTTGGTGGCTACCCTTTCTCCTTACCAGTCCTGGTCTTGTGCAGAAGGAAGGCTTTCCGGAACCCCTTGAGCTTCCATTTGGAGGGTTTGTTTCACACTTCTTTTTGTGGACCCCGCTTAACCTTTCTGAGTTGAAGGAGGAAGCAACACAGGCGATATGAATTCAGCTATTGAAGATAGTCGCAAGGCGTCCCTCGTTGCCAAACCAGGCATGCTGCTTTGCCACAGACACTGACACGCTCAAACGCCTTGGCGACCTAGAGTCCAGAGGAAATGCAATTGGTGAAGTATTGAGGTGGTTCAGGCAGGCAATTGCATGGTGAGTCCTTGGACCGCGACCCTTGATCAAGTTGTTCGAATAACTTCAGGATGGCAAGAGCCAAGCCGAGAGAAAACCCTGTGAAGTGCAAAATGCATGCCAACTGGATTCAGCACGAGCCGCCCAGACTTGGGACTTCTTTTTTAAACTCGAACAAAAACGGGGGTCAACTCGTTTTGGCACGCGCAACTTGGCCCAAAGCAACCGGGACGCCTCGCTCGCTCGCCAGGGTCAGGACCTGCGGGTGAAGAAGCCACAGATGGCCTTTGGCCTCCTGAAGGTCCCGGGGGTGAAGGGAAGGGACGGGGGCGGTCTGGGGCGTTTTGCTTAAAAAAAAAGAAACACATTGGCTTTGTGGTTCTAGAGTGCTAAACCTTGGGTGTAGTCGTTTTTGCTTCTTTTGCGGGTTTCCTGTTTGGCTTTTGTGGTTCTAGAGTGCTGAAACCTTTCTAGGTGTAGGTCGGATGTTTTTGTTGTTTTGCTTCTAGGTTTTTCTTTTTGGCTGGGTGGCTGCGGTGCTGAACCTCCGTTTTTTTTTTTTTTTTTTTTTTCCCGTTCCGCTTGTGCAGCTCTTCTTGCTGCCCGGGGCATGGCTTTTTGGCCGGCATGGATTGGTGGGTTGGATGGGACATCCAAACCACCAGCCTCAACCACGTGCTACCACGTATGGCACGTTTGATACGCGTTCCACAAGCCCAGGCAATGAAGGGGTGGTGGCTACTCAACAAGCTCAGCTGCTCAGCACCATCCTTTTCACATGAGTCACAGGTGGACCCGGGGCAAGTGAAGGTACGGTCGGTGCGGATAGCCACCATCTTGTTCTACGATAAATGTCTGCTGAAAAAAACTCTCTAGCTCCAATCAGAACATTAAAACAGATGTGTCCTGCACTCCGAAGTTGGGCAAGAAACACTCTCCAGCTCCAATCACCACACAAAGATGTCTGCCGTACCCCAAAGTCGGGCGCGAGTCTCCAGCTCCGGTGTCTCTGTTCTTTTTTGTTCTCTTTGTTTTCTGTTTTTTTTGGTTTTCTGTGTTTCTCTGTTTTCTCCGTTTTTTGTTTTCTTAGATGTTTTCAGTTTCTCGTTTTTTTTCTTCTTTTTCTGTTTCTCTGTTTTCTTTGCGTTTTCTGTTTGATGTCTCCGAGTTGTTTTTTTCTTTTCTCTTTTTTTTTCTCGGTGAGACGCTGGCCTCGGAGCTGCTGGACGCGGAGAGCCACACGGCCTGCGGCATGCCCAGGTCACCCGACTCGAAGACTCTGAGTCGCGAGTCGCGAGTCGCGAGTCGGCGTTGGGCGTTGGATCGGAACACCTGGCCATGGGTCAAGATCCAAATCGTACCCCCAGTGAACATCCAAATCCCCACTAAAAAAGACTAAAGTGGGTGGTGCACCTCCCCCAAAATGGGATACCAAAACGGTTTTGACCCACAGCCACCTGACAGAGGTCCCTTGAGGAACATGATCTGGAAAAACTCCCCTCAAGTTGTTGAAGGGAGGGAGGGAACCGCTGCCATGTCGCGACGAACTTTCGACCTAGTTGTCCGGTTTCGGCCCCACTGGGCTAAGCTTCTGTTTCAGACGCCGTTCGGCAGCTGAGTGAAGGAACCCGTGGGGGCAACCGTTGGTGCTTGAAACCATAGGGCTGGTCGTTGAAAGATGCATGAAAACGGGGCATCAACCAGCACCCCCCAACAACTGTTTTTTGTTCTACCTCTTGACTTTTGTCTTGAATCCGATTTCCTTCTTGTCGGACGAACCATTTCACCACCTGGACAATGTGTCTCTTATTTTTGCAAAACGGCGATGTTCGAAGGTTTGGGTTTGCAATCGCAAGGACATTCTGCCCTTCTGCCAACAATGCCAGCATGCCCAGAGACTCTCATGCTTACTCCCTTGACATATATATTACTCTTGGGGATGGCAGAAGGGACGGTGTTGTTCAGGACCCCCTAAACACGGCTTACAGTGAGGCTTCAGGGATATAGACATCCACACATAGTTTGCAAATTTAGTGGTGTAATTGTAATATGTATTCTTCACAACATACACACATAATAGTAAATAGCCTTCAGCAGTATGTTATTTTTTGCGTGATGTAGGAACTTGATAGTGGCGGGTGAAAAGCAGTTGAGCCACAATCAAAACCTGGGTAGATGAAGGTTAGTACAGGTCAATCCCAACCATACATAGCTGCGGCCGCCTTCTTAATTCTTTACATGGTTCTGGGTAGACCATTATGATATCGATTATGACTCAGCTCTGATGGAGGAATCGGCATAAAGTTTGGAGCCAGGAGCGTCATACTGCAGAGATTGGTCGGGTCTCTGGAGGCGCCATTCGCGTTACGCGCCTGCCTCGCAGAGTTCGCGGCTCCCTTGGTGACCTGGCTAGGGGAGCAAGCACCCAGCTCGTGGGTGCTCAGCGGTCCCTGTTTACTGGAAACTCCCTTGTTGCCGGGTCCCTGACGAATAACTGAAGGGGGCGACAATATAACTGAGGGGTCAACACTCATGGAGAAAGTTGTGTCAGGTGCCTCAAAGTGGGTGCATGTCAAGAGACCTGTTCTCATTTTTGCTTGGGCGGTTTTCCTGCAACACTCGCACCTTGAATTATTGAACTTGGATTTTGTTGGGGTGGCAATCACAAAGTTTGGACCATTGCCATAGGCGTCCTTTTTAGCTTGGTTTGGTTAAACATAGATGGGTTCCACTGGTTGAGATGGGTTTTGTTCTATTTACCAGGGCCATCGATTTTTCCAAAAGGCCTATGGTTTGGACTGTGTGGTCTTGGCCAATCCACTGAGGCAGTGGGAACATGATATCTTTTAGAGGGTAGGTTTGAGGCTGTCACTTTGCTTGGTGGCTCCCAGCCATCCCCTCAGCCGTCTAGCTTTTTAGTGTTTAGTGGTAGTTTCCATTTAGCCCACCAAAAGTTGAACTTTTAGCGGGGGATCTGAGGGCAGCCGAGTTTAATGGTAGTACTTTTCAATATCAAGTCTGCAAAAGGCATCAATGATCATAAATGTGTGTGTGTGTTGTTTTTTAGGGGAACGCCCAAAACGGCCTTGGTTTGCCCCTGTTGGCTTTCCTTTCAACCAACCCCAGAAAGGGTACCACCTCCACATAAGACACCCCCCAAACGTCTTTCGCACAGACCTGGTAGTGTTGAGAAAACTGAGCGCCTTGTCCATGTTGAGCTTTACGATTGGAGCCTGCGTCTCGATGCTGCGACTTCGCCAGACTTCCCTCATGGTGTCAGAAGAGTTGCAGAGGAAGGTCTTGCAAACTGCCAGTGGGAGACCCGGATTTTTTTGAGGTCGTTGGGAGCGGCGCCTGCGGGACAGAGGGCATGAGGGAGAGGATGCAGAGCTTGATTTTTTTGGGAGCGCCTGACCAGGGACAGAGGGCATGAGGGAAGGGATGATTTATTTGGTCGAAGTGTCTCCAAATGGTGTTCGGCGTTTGTCTTGGAGCCAAAGGGGCTCTGCCTGGAAAAGACATAGACAGTGCCTTTTTGACAAGCGGGACTGCTTTCCTAAACTATAACCTGAGAACTGAGAACTGACAGGTTGACCGGAAAGCAGAAAGCGAGCAGCCCGCAGCCCTAAACTGCAGAGTTGGTTTGACCATTGTGACCAAATGTTTTGCCAGTAAAAAAAATAACATCAAGAACCAGTTGCTGTGCCCTCATCAGTGACTTCTACTAGCTTCCAGCCAAAGCTAGTTTCTGCAGATGTTTGGGTTTGGTGTGCAAGAGATCAACGCTTGGATTTGTTTTAACAAGAACTACAGTGTGTCAACGTCTCGTCCCCTCACACCTCTCCACAAGTTCTTCAGATGAGACTATGTAAGATATCCTCATGTAGGTACCCTCCCACATAGGACCCACCAGAAGGTCCCTTTGGTTCATGGACTTCCCTTGGGCGCCATGTTGGAGCTGAACTCAAAGGGAGACCAAAACGAAGATCCTCCGTTTTTTGGGGCTTTTGGCTATTTTGATGTCACCAAGCAACCAACTTCCAGCAGGAACCCGCCACAAATCCCACGCCAGTGGTGCATGTTCAACTTGCTTCCTTGGAGGGGGTTCCCCGAAAGAGAGGACCCGACTGAAGTTCCTGACGCCCTGGGAGTTCGTAAGTCAGTTTCCCTTCTGGAAGCTTCAAGAGCGAGGCGTTTCTTGAAACCCACCATCGCAACTGAGGAAATCCAGTGACTGTCGCCTACCAACCAACGGACGTTCTCAAGATTGGAATCGGACCCCTTTGGGATGGGTTTTAAAGGGAAACCAAACGGAAACCTGAAAAAATCGCGAAACCGACTTCGAGAAACACCCGAACAGGTGCTTCCCCTGTCTTTGGCCACAGTTTTGGTGGCCACGTTCGGCCCGGATTTCGGACGCGAAATCTCGCGAAATCATCGAGTGAGGTCATTGCGTGGCCACTGTGGAGGGCAACATTCGAAAAGAGAGGCTGGACTTCCCTTGGCCGCGGGAAGTTTCGTTTGTTGCTACTCGGTATCCAGCCATCTGGGTCCTTAGGTTTGTAGGGCTTTAAGGGTTTGGTCGGGGTGTCCAATTCTCCCATCAGAGCCTTTTGTGTTTTTAGCAGGGGATCTGAAAACGGACAGCCCAGAAAAGGATCTTTGCCTGAGCGACGCGAGGATCTTGTCCAACTTCAGGCAATCGAACCAAGGAACATATTGGGGGCTTGTCTTTTAACATCTTTTGGCCCGGTGGTCCTTTACAAGGGGTTACCAAAAAAGGGGCCGGGCCCATATGTTTGACGGCCCCTGGTGTGTTTGTTGTATTCTGTAGTGTTGTGCGGTGTGTTGTTGCTGTGTCAGACTTTCTGGTGTTTGCTCTGCTATGTGTGTGATGTATGTGTATTTGTTTGTTTGTGTGGTTAGTTGTTTTTGATTTGATTGATGAGATAGTTGCTTGCCTTGCTTGACTTGCTTGCTTGCGTGCTTGCTTGTTTGCTTTCTTGGTTGCTTGCGTGCGTGCGTCCTTGCGTGCTTGCTTGACTGTTTGCTTTGCCTTGCCTGGCTTTGCTTCGCTTTGCTTTGCTTTGATTTGCTTTGCTCTGCCTTGCTTTGCTTCATTGCTGCTTGCCTGCTTGATTGATTGCTTGACTTGTTTCGTTCATTGTTCGTTTTTTTTTTGTGTGTGTGTTTGTCCTGTCCTGTGCTGTGCTGTCCCGTCCTGTCCGTCTCTGTGTCTTTCTCGCTCTGTCTGTTTGTTTGTCTCTGTCTTTTTTCTGTTTGTCTGTATCTGTCTGGTTGTCTGTCTGTTTATTTGTCTGTTCTTCTGTCTGCCTGTCGGACTGTCCCTGTCTCCCTCTCTCTCTCTTTGCCTGCCTGTCTGTTTGTCTGTCTTTTCGTCGGTCTGGCTGTCTGTCTCTCTATCTCGTTCTGTACAGTTCTAGATTCTCAGTTTGTTGGCGCGTCTTTCGTAGTGGCTGCAAGAAACAACTTTCTTCGCCTGCTACCAATCAGGGAAACCAGCTACAGGAGATTCTACAGGAAATTGGTCAATTACCCACCAAAAACATTCATTTCCTGTAGAATGTCCTGTAGCTACTTTCTAGGAACCAAGGTTTGGAAAGTCAAGCTGGAAAAGCCAAGGGTTTCCTCGAAGGAACCCGCGCTTGAGCGAGCCAGGGACGAGCTGCAGGCGGCGCAGGATGCGGCTGGGAGGCCTAAAATCCAAGCTGCCGGCACCGCGCGCAGCGTCGCTTCGGAGTTGCTGTGGCCTCCACTTGGGTACTTGAAACGTTTTCCCAGTTGCCCAGTGGCGCCCTGTTTTCTTTTCTTTCTTTTTTTAGGAAGGGTTCCCTTTAATCTCGGCAACCAAAGGGTTGTTTGAAGGGTTTTCGAATGGTTTTTTTGAATGGTTCCCCAACCAAAGAAAGGATGCTCTTTATTTCCATGGCCACTCGGCATCTGATTCTTGGTGATAGGAGTGTGTGGTTCAACATTGGAGGTGCAACTAGTTGGCGGCCGGGGAGGGGTTGGGGGGAGGGGGGCGGGCAGAACACTGGTTCAACATGGACACCAAAGGACCAACTTGCCTCATCATGGTCGTGGGAAAATCATGTTTGGACTGATTCAGCCCAATCAACAATGGGAACTCTGCATCCGCTGAGGCGAGGGTGAGCCAATGGCACAACGGATCTGCTGCGCCACATTTGTCAGCGCAGGAAACTTGGACGCGCAGGCGGCTCTGGCGCTTCGTTGCACTGCTTGACTTCACTAGTCATGATACCGTGAGAATCACCGGTTTCAACCAATCATGTAGTCGTCGGCGAATCGATTTCCCTTTCTAATATCGCCCCAAGGTCGATTTCCCATGCCACTATTTGTTTGCTCTGTTGCCCTTTGAGGTCTCCTTTCTTTTTGATGTTTACCAGGAAGTGAACTTATCGCGGGAACACCAGTGGGAATGAGGGGTTGATTCCCACTGAGATACCAAAGATAATTTTATTTGGGTATAACTTGTTGAGAAGGCTTTGCACTGCCTTCACAAAACTGGCCTGATGCGAACATTTATTTTGAATGTGTCTTCTGATTTGGAGTTGGTTTTCTTGCTTGTGGCCAGCGTTCATTCTGAAGGATGTTTTCCTGGTGCTGTTCGATCCCTGTCATCTTGTTGTCATAAGCGCCTGCAGCTACGGTATGTGTAGCTGTTTGCTTCATGCCTGGTTGCTTGGCGGGTCAGTTGAGTGCTTGCCTGCGTACTTGATTTGTTGCTCTGTGTCCGCTGGTTTTTTGATGTTGTGCTTTTGCTGGTTGCCTGCCTGATCCGCCATGCCTTCCAGCTGATTCCTTGTTTGCATTCCTGCTTCATACTAGTATGACAGCTATTTTGCTGCTCTAATCGTATTTTCTACTGGTGCATGTGCTTGCCGCTGTCTTTCTCGCATCGTTGCAGACTCGCTGTGTGCAGCTTTTTGTTTGCTGCTTGGTTGCCCATTCCCCTTGCCTTGCCCTTTGTTGCTTTGTTTTGCCGTGCGAACTTTGCACCCGCCTGAGGTTGTTGGATCGTCTTTTCTTCCTGAATGTTTCTTGCTATTCCTGGCTCTCGTCGCCCTTCTGGCCGTTGTGACACATTTGCGCGACCCTCGGTTGGTGGACACTTCCGAGCTCGTGGTGTGTCCTTTCTGAAAATCGGTATCGCTCTCAAAGTACGAAGCAGTACATCCTCGAGGAGCTCAAGGAAAGTGTTTGCAAGTATTTCCAAGTTTCCTGCTAAACAAATGGTGGAAGCATCAGAATGCCGAATCTTCTGCGGACAGGCCGGCAAACCGTGTCGCGCGCGATCGTAAACCCAATAGGCAAAGGGGAGCAACGAAAGCCAGTGCCAGACTTGAGGCCATCCAGCTTCTGCAGACACTGCGGCAGAAAACCCTTTGCAGCGCAAAAGAGTTCAGCTCAAAGAGTGGGGACCAAACAGAAAATATTATTAACGCGTGCTTCCCCAAGTATTGCGAAGTAAGCAGACTTGTGAGGCTGCAAAAACCTGCAATCAAGTATCCGTGTGGCTCATTGCTGTTCCATGCCTTAGTGACCAGTCCCGTGTGTCTCAAAATAGGGGACGCCCGAAATTGATTTTTTCTTTCTCGGTGGTTTCCCGTACAAACCAGCGCCAAAAAGGTGGTCTCGACAAAAAGACACACCCGTGTCATATAACAAGTGAGAAACTTTAAACCCTAAACCCCAAACTTCAAACCCAAAACCCCAAACCCCAAACTTCAAACCCAAAAAACACTAAATCCTAAACAAATCTCCGCGTCACCGAAATACGGCAGTGTCCATCCACCTCCTGGCAGGTGTGGGCTAAGCTCCTGGCAAGGCCCGCCGCTCCGCCGGGGCACCCGGGCTAATCCGGGGTGGTTGTAGGGGACTGCACCCCCCCCCAAAAAAAAACGAAACTGACTGTTGGTTCTCTTTTAAAACCTCAAATACATACAGTGCCCTCAACAAAACAACATACTCCAAGCGAGCTCGCTTGGGTAAAACAAGCTGTGGGCGAAATCCAGTTCGCACCACTTTGAAGCCATGGGAAGCCCCTGTTTGCTTCAGAAGGGCGGCCCGGCGGCCCGTTGGACCGTCAACCTGGCAAACGGGCGGACCGTCCCGGAGTGACCCGGGCGGGCTGGGCCACGGTCTGGCCGACCGGACCTGGCTGGCCGGACCGTACGTTGACCGGCGGAGCATACAACCATTTTGCTGAACTAGAGTAGGAACCGTTTCCACACGTCACAGCTTAAATGCTACACTGTACAGCCTTCATCTTGTATTCGCCTCATGTTGCATCGCGCCACTTTCACTGACGCAAGTGAGACCCAGGTGTCTCAGCCCGCAGGCTGCGTGCATTGCCCCGAGGTTGGACTGGAGCGGCCGATACTTTGTCCCTGGTTGCAGCTTCAGACGTCCAGAGGCGGAAATTGGTCGCTCGGGCCGGCGGCCGGGAGGTTGTTCTAGGGCTCAGCCAAACGAGCATAGGTTGACAGCTCATTGGCAGAAACCCTTTGAACAGGTGGGGACGTGTTGATTACTGCGCAAAACAAATAATAGTTGGAGCACTTTGAACAGAGGCATGGAAAGCAGACATGCATATCGAGGGTAGCCGTTTTTGGGTTGGTTAAAAGGGAAACCATAAGGAAGCCATCCAGTTTGGGGTCACCCTATCTTAAAAACAAACGTAGTGATGCATGACGTGGGGATTTGTTTGCGGCTGAGGTGCAGATGTGCTTGGCTTTGCCTTGGGATGATAGTAAGGGACAAGCTATTGGATTGCAGGTGTTCGTTTTGGGCAGTCCCCTCTCGGTTTCAGGTGGTATTATCGGGTATTCATGTACAGCTGTTACCTGGGAGTGAACATGGGGCTTCTCCAAAAGTACAGGAGCCTTCCAAAACCCTGCTGTCAGCTTCCGAAAGAGAGTAGATTTCGATGACATGTTGGAAGGGGATTGCTTCGGCTGCGCAACCTTCATCCGCCCTGTCCCTATCCGAGCTCTCCAACCTTGGCGCTCAAGTCCACGTCAGTTCGGGCGTATACCCATCTCCGCAACAATGCCCCCGGCCGTTTTGTTCGGGGTCCCTCAATGAATTGCTATGGCGAATTGGCCTTCTTGGATTTTGCCGGTCAGTTTGAGTCTTGCAGGTGGCATTGCGCACAGCTGGTGGAGCAAGCCAGCGGCCGCCTGAGACTTCAGACTTTGCTTTGTGCCAGTTTTGGGGATTGATAGGGAAACACAAGGGGAGACCATGTTGGGTGTGCCCTACTTTGAGATACACCCATTTGGCTTCCATTGGTCGAGCCCTGGCTTGTGGCGCTCCGTAGGGCGTCGAGGCAAACAGACGGGCTAGCATGAAGGTCATTCCGCTTGTTTGTTTTAGGGGGGATTATCAAAGTCTGGGTAGGGGGGGTTTATCAGTTTGACAGTCTTTCTTGTCTTTTGGGGTGGGGGAGGGGGGGGTCCCTGTCCCTTTAACCCATCACTTAAGGGGTGTTTTTGACAATGGTCAAACATGGGGCAAGTACCAGAATCTGAAAGCTTGCACGCAGAGTCTGCCTTTGTGTGCGGATTGGCAAGTTAGGCAAAAGATCACTCCCCTCGAAGGGGCCAATGACACTTCGGAGCACTCATCTTTTTTGTTTTTGTTTTCTTCGGCGACCCCGAGCTATGCGCGGCACAAGACTCCGGTCCTTTCCCAAGCTGAGACAGGCTTCGACCATCTTGCCTTATCGTTGGGTCGCGTCTAATTATTCTCAGTTGCCGACTTCCGGGACTTAATGTAAAGTTTGGAATTTTGGTTGCCCATCCACCGTGGAAGTGAGTAGTGTTTGAGACGCTTGATTTCAATCGGCAGCTCCCCCGCTTCGAAACAAAACTCAAATATGTGACTGGATCAGGCAGTAGATGGTCTTGCAGCCTCCTGGACGAAGGTAACGTACTGTTGCAAACGTCCTGCTGACGTGTTTTGCTGGTGCGTTTTTCAGCTAAAAACACAACTCAGCCAGAAATCGTGCAGTTGCAGGCTTTGCTTGATGGTGGCTCTGGGGATGCTGGCGCTTTATGATTAGTTCATGCAACTTGCCCAAGTCCTTATCACTTCTATTTGTCCAATGCCTTCCGATACATTTTGCCCAAGTCCAACTAGGTCCCCCAGTTGTGCCCGTGTTACCTTTTTTTAGGAGAGGGTTCCCCTACGAAAATAGACTACAGAAAAAAGTCGGGTACCAACTGATTCTAAGCTCTATACTGGAGGACCTAGCCAACGTGCATCTTCAGGATGGAGCAGCCAGATCAACTCCAACATGGATGCCATGTCAAGGCGCGACCTGCGAACTGTGGCGCTCGCTCAAATCTTTGTGACTTTCAACCGGGCCCAGCTTGCTTTTCCTAGTTGGCAACCAGCCGCTTTCCGTATGTTTGGCAGAAAATGAGTTTGCTTTCTGACCAAATTGTAAGGTTAGAAGGTTGGTTTAGGTTCTTTTCGCGAGAAACTCCAGTTTCACTTGCCTAGGAAACCAAGGGAGCCGCCCTTTAAAGAGGAATCTAGCTACCAGAGTTGGGGAGCACAGTCCTCAATCGCACTCAGGGCTCCCCCCTGTTTGCACCCGATTGACCCCGTCTGTTGCGTTGTTTCGGGTCCCTAGTTTCAGTCATAGGCAAGGAACATAATTAGACGCGGCTGAGAGGAAGAAATGAAAGGAAGGGCTTGGATGAGTGGAGATCTCAAGGTCGCCTGGGCGGTGTTCCTAAGGTTTTGTTTGGATGGGGTTAATTGAGAGGAGAACCACGCATTTGTTTTTTTAAAGATAACACAATGAGCCATGTTTGTCACAGTTCCAAAGTGTTTGGTGAAACAGAACACGCTCTTTCTTGGACACCGCTTCAGCGGAGCGTGCCAAGCCCCAGCATTCACCTGAGATCACGATCCAGTCTCGCTACGTCGGCTTGTTTGGCTTCAGGTTGCGTTTCTTGTGTCTATCACAACCGGCGATACATAGTGCCACCGCTCCAATTGCCGTCGGTCAAAGTGGAACCCACAAGCAGCATGACCAATGCTGAGGGTCTCTTCCGGTAATTAGACTGAACATGAACAGAATCTTAACATACTGGTACTATTCTCTCTGTACCCCAGTTGTGTTAAAACTCGAAAGCGAAAGGACCCAAACGGCGCGTGCACCGGCCAGTGCTGCCTACAACATGCTGGGCTTGGCGCAGGACGGGCGCACCTGCCAAGCCATAGGCTCGAGGCTTGCCAAAGGGGGATAGCCGGAAAGTACCCTCGAAACAACTGGGAATAGGTGGCTGTGGGTCCAGCAAAGGTCCTGAAATGGGTTGCCCTGGTAAACAAAGACGGAAACTGGCGCCCATATCTCGGTGGTGTAATTTTAACCCATACCCAGTTGGTGCTTTTTGTCGAATCTTCATCACGTCTAATAGCGCCCGAGCACCATGGGAGGAATCAGGGACAAGTACATATATATATAGTTGTGCACTGTAGGAAGCTAGTGCTGTCCAGCCAATTTTCGGGTCTATTCAGACAGGTTAGCGTGTGTGCAGGAGCTGACAGCTGGCTTTGCGGTGGGCGGGGATGCCAGTCCTGCCGTGTCGCCTGTGTTACTTGTTTCCGCTGGTTTTGTATTCACATGGAACTCTCCTAAATTGCAAGTCAAAGAAAAAGTAAAGGATGTTCTTGAAGGGTCTACCACGAAAGGAATCACCTGCATCGCGAAAGGCCGGCGATTGGAGCGGGAAAGTGCTATACACAGGAGAGTTCAGCAACAAATGCTGCAGAAATGAGCTTGTTCAAGACAGATGTAATTGCAACTACATGCATCAAGTAGCTTGCCGCATGAATACATTCTCCTTTTTCGGAGTCTGATTGGCTGGAGTTTGATTTTAAAGATCCTTCCATTGAGCCGAAACGAAACATGACAGCCGCCAAAGGGACACCGAAAGGCGGCCGCCGTTTGGATGATTGCCAGGCGCCGCTATGTTAGACCTTCGCATGGGTGTCTCTTTTTTAGGGGACCCCCAAAAACGCGTGGTTTCCTTTGAGGTGTCCTTTCCAATCGCAAAAACGGGTACCCTCCAAAAAGCCAACCTCCACATGTCTCGAGTCACCGGAAAGTCAACCCGCCATAGTGATTGCTGGGAAAACAATACAGCTGTTTGAAGACTCGCGGGGATTCCTTCCGGGAACCCCGCAAGGGGGCACACCATGCCAGGACCCCGAAAAAGCGCGTGTTACGTTTAACAATCTGGCATTTCGAGAAATTCTCAGCTCCCTCAATCATCTACCCCTGACACTTGAATCCACCCAGTTTGTTCCCTTAGAAGACAACTCAACCAACCAGTTTGCCCTTAAAGGCCTTTTTCTTGATTTGCCCTTTCACCAGCAATCAGATAACTCTTCCAGGGGTGTAAGATATGTTGGGGGTGCCAATCCAGACATGGTGCCTAGGCTGGGCCTTCGCATTCTGGCGTCACCAGTTCATGGAGGACGCGAGTCCTCCGGGCGGGGTTGCAGTGCTTAAGGGGGGCGTGTCAAACACGACATTTCCGCATCAAGCATCACCACAAATCTCGCTTTAAATGACCACGAAATGGATTCCGTCCATCCACAGTAGGGGTGGACTTATCAAAAGGGGAAGCGATTATTCAGCCGGCGCTCTAGGCATTGGTAGCAGATTGGGGGATTGGATTGTGCCCACACAGTCGGGGGGATGTCAAGTTTAGGGGGACAAGACAGAATCAAACAAACAACACTCCAACCAGACAGCCAGATAGACAGCACAAGCAAAAACAAACAAACAAACAAACAAACAAACAAACAAACAAACAAACAAACACACAAACACACAAACAAACAAACAAACAAACAAACAAACAAACAAACAAACAAACAAACAAACAAACAAACAAACAAACAAACAAACAAACAAAACAATCAAACAAACAAGCAAGCAAGCAAGCAAGCAAGCAAGCAAGCAAGCAAGCAAGCAAGCAAGCAAACACACAGACAAACACACGAACAAACAAACATACAAGCAAGCCAGCAAGCCAGCAAGCGAGCAAGCAAGCCAAGCGAGCAAGCTTCAAAGCACCTAAGCAATAGGGACTGCACAAACCAGCACCGCACCAGCAAAAAAAAACGCTCGCTGAGGATAAGACGGCGGCCGAGCAGCTGCAGAAGATGGAGCGCTCCATCATGATCAATCGGGAGGCCTTGATCCAAGCTAACCGACTCACGCCCAATTGCCCAGCGGTGCCCAGTTTTTTTTCCATTAAAATCAACCAACCCAAAAAGGATGCGTTTTAAAGTGACATGACATAGAACCCAAAAACGGAGGAGCTGTCACGTGTGTTTTGCCGCTTTTGGTTCGGCATTTCGCTGAGTTCCTGCGGATCTTTGTCTCGGAGTGGCGCTTCTTGACAGTGTCCCTCTCCATGCACCAGGCCTTTGAGGACAGAATCTAGCTTGCTTTAAGCGGCGCGACCCTGTTGCTGGGTCCGAAGTCACAGTAAAGGAGGCTGAATGTTTTGTCAGGGGCTGAATGAAAGAAACGACCTCCCAAGTATGGGCTCCCTTCTTGTCTAGGTCCCCGAGTAGTGCCCTTTTACCCTTTTTTGGGGGGGTTCCCCTACTAAAATAAACTACAGAAAAAAGAAAGTTGGTACCCTTCTTCTAACCTCTCTACTGGAGGACCTAGTTGTGGTTGCACTTCGTGGGGTTTTTCTGTTGTTGGGGCACCAAGTTCCATCAACTTGCGCTGATTTTCATCGGTCGGACGAGGAGCAGAAGATCAAGCGGCTCCACTTGCGGGTGCTGGCGGTAAGGCTCCGTGACGCCCAGGAGACTTTGAGCTTTCGACGGAAGTTTCGCGGTGGAAAAAGAAGGGTTTGCCCCTATGGCGCATCTCCAGTCTGTTCTTGGCAAGCTGTTGTTTGCTTTTGTTGGTTCTGTCCATTGTTTTTTTTAGTACGGGGCTACAACAAACAAAGCTGTTTGCTATTATACCAGGGGTGGTGAAGGCATCACTACCCTTGGTTTCAAGGTACCTGACCCACTAGTGTAGTATGTCCATGTGTTTGGCGGTTTTGATCATCGCCCGTATTGTCCTATTTTCAGGGGAGATTTCGATGTCAATGGGGCATATAGGGAACCCAGAAAGAGAGACTGTCCACGAATCGACCTGAAGTGACCGTGGTCAAGCGACTGCAGCTGCATCCATTTATCTCCAAAGGTGAATCAGGTTTCTGATTCCAAGTAGTTGTGAAACTACACATTGCGGGCCAGTCAGTTTTGTCTTCGTTTCTCTCTTTGTGTAAGTGCGGTTTGCTTTATTACCTACCCGTTTCAAGCACCTGTTCATCTAGTAGGTAGTCATGTTTGCCTCCTTGGCTTTTCATGTGCTTTGCCTGGCTACCTATCTATCGCTTTTCATCGCCCAAATCCGTTTGGGTTTGGCTGGTCCCCCAGTAGTGCCCTTTTACCACTGTTGTTTCTTCTTCTTTTTTCTTTTTTCTGGGGGGGGTTCCCCTACTAAAATGGACTACAGCAAAAAGTTGGTACCCTTATTCTAACCTCTCTACTGGAGGACCTAGTTGGTCCATTGGTTTGATTTGTGATAGTCCGGTTTTCCCGCGAAAGCATGAAGGGGAAACACGCTGAGTGCCCCTGGTGTACTTGGCCCCAGGTGTCTGCCCTTTACACCTTCCGGTATATATCCCATGTGCACCGGGAATCTATCGGCACATATATATATATATACACACGCTGAGAGCGAGGGCTCACTCCATTCCAATGAATATGCTCATTCACATACATGTATGTCCATATGCATTTGCATATATACTATGCGTGATATATTAGAACATGTGCCCGGTTCACGGGGCTTTTGACTGTTGGGACGAAGAACACATCCCGAGACGTGAACCCCGCAGGACCAGCGTCAGGAGTGTCAGCAGGAGGCCAGGCGTGTTTTGCTTGGCATCCTGGGTCTTTCCATTTTCAGGGGTCAAAATACTTTTGGAGGTAGTTTCCCGTTAAGCCGATTTGGATGATGTCATTCGCTGGGGCTCGAAGATGTCTCTATTGTTTCCGGTGCGGCAGGGACCCGCCTAGTCAGGAGGAACGCGCCAGGGTGACACTCAGTTGGCGCACGAATGGGCGTGTCTGAATGGGAACGCGTAGCAGAAGGGTTCCTTGTTATAGAAAGCGGTCTGGGGGTATCCATGTGTTCGCCAGATGCGTCGCCGCATGTGCAAGCTTTGGTGCGTGCGCATGTGTTTGCAGGGGGCAACAGTTGCCGTGCTGTTGGGGGAGGCTCAGAATGTGCGATTTGTATGACTTGCGATTCCGCGCTTTGAACGACGGCCATCCACTTCAAGTCAGCGCGCAACTCCGCAGGTCGGGCATTGTATTCATGCTGCCGCCTAGCCGCAACAGAAACTGCAAAAATCTTGACACGGTGCCGCTGCGGTCCGCTGTTCATGTGACCATCGCGAAACTGGCTTGGGTTATGTCCTCGGTTGATTTCTATCCTGAAACGATTCCCCCGAAGGTTTGGGAAGAAGGGGCTTGAGCCTTGAGCCCAGAAGGACTGCATGGAGGTCAATGTGCATGAGAAAGCAAACATCTGCCGCGCCATTGAGCACCTGGTTTGCCGCAAAACCTGAAAAAAAAGGATTTGTGCGACACGGTGAAGCACGGGAATTGAAAGTGCGGCAAAGGCCCGTTGACACACCATGTTGTTTTTGTTGCGTGTGCGCGCGAATCGTAGCTGTTTATTTGACTTCATAGATCGGTTACAGAAAAGTATATGGAGAGATTCAGAGACAGACAGATAGGTGTAGGTAGATAGATGGGAGTTGTCGGTAAATAGGTAAAAGAAATAGAGGTAGATAGAGAGAGAGGGCAGAGAGAGACAGAGGGGGATAGAAAGAGAGAGAGAAGGGGACACACACAGAGGGGATTGGTAGACAGACAGACGCACAGGTTTCGTCAGGTCAAATGAGACCAGGCCAGATTGGATCACATTTTGTTAGACAGGTAGGCATATGGATAGATAGGTTAGATTGGGCAGATGGAGTAGACGGACAACGGACAGATGATAGATGGATGGAGAGATTAAATGTGGTTAGGTTAGATTGAGACATTGGTGGCCCAATGTGATAGACAGATAGAAGGACAGACAGATATCCTTGGGTTGGATTGTTAGGTTAGGCTGGAATGCCTGGACAGATAGACACATTAGATTAGATTAGATTGATAGACTGATAGGTGATAGACAGAGACAGACGGGAGAGGGTTTAGATTGCATCAGACGAATATATAGGTAGGTAGATAGGTATTAGATAGGTCGGACGGTAGGCAGGTAGGTAGATCAACAGATAGGTCGTGGAGTGGATAGATGTACAGATGCGTAGATGGACAGACGGATGGGCAGATGGACAGGTAGATGGGTACATACACAGATGCGCAGATAGATGTATGGATGAATACGCAGATGGTTAGACAAATCAGTAGGCCAACAGGCAGTACATCGTTAGGCAGGGACACCCAGCGGTAGCTTGTGGCAATTTTTCAGCATTCGGGCTCGTGGCTTCTATCAGGTGTTCTTCCTCAAAGCCTTTTGCGGAAGGTTGGCCTGAAGACTCACAAGATCTGGCTTTGTTCGCCTTGGCTCCAGGCCGATTTGGACAAGTCGGCCGCCGCCTTGTGGGATGCACATGTCACACTGTCAATCGTGCGGCGCCCCGTTTGGAACCATGTTCATCTTGAGAATGTAATTAGGGTGGTGTGGGGTGGGGTCAAAAGTCCTTCTAGCCAATCCCGCGAAGAAGACGGCGCAAAATGTCATTTTCGTTCCAACCTTGCCGTGGCAGCTGAGCACGGGTGGAACCAGTTGGGCTGCCCAAGGTACACTACATGATGGCGCGGGCCTAAGTTGGGCTTTGCACGGGCGCATTGGCCCAATGTGCGTGCCAACCACACAGTTTTGTTTTTTTGTGTGCGCCTTGCAGCAGGAAGGGTAAAGGGCGATAGCAGGTTCCGGCTAACAAAGGCGTCACTTCTCGTTTGCAGCGTGTGGGGTTTCCAGCCCCATTTGCGCATCTCAATGCTTCCCGCTGCTGAGATGCGGAAGTTGCAAGCCGCACGGGAAGACAGGAACAGAATGGACTACAGGCAGGATATTGCGCTCGTGTGACCTTACTTAGGCTGGATGGCTGACTGGTTGACCAACAATGGCTTGCATTTGTTCTATCAGCTTCCTTCATGTTTTGTCGTCAAGCCGCCCCTTGAAAGAGCAACCCAAAGTGTCTCTGACCTGAACTTGAAGCCCTCCCAGTTGTTCAACCGTGAAGCTCCGGGTTTCCTAACTCCAACCTCGCCAGGTTGCAAACGATGCCTCCTGAGCAAGCGAGGCCAGCTGCCTAGAGTGGCCGTCGCCGAATGATTGGGCCACCTTGCTGATTCTGAGCCGGATTTGTCTTTAAACAGGCGCCCCTGTTTGGATGTTGTTGACAAGTCCTAAAGACGGCGACCAGCAGGCTGAGTTTGAGAGATTCCCAAAAGAATGGATCGTATCTCTGTTTGGCTTGGTCCATGTACTCACAGGGCTAGCCGTAGAGAGGTCAGCCTGGCCCGAGGACTTGAATCGAAGTACCCAGGTATTGCATGAACACCGTGTGGTTTCTATAGCTGGGCGGTGTATTTATGTGCTTGCATCTGCGGAACACGCAGCAGACGTCTAGCTCGCGTCTGTGATGATTCCATCACATGTTTGACATACCTAACATCAAGCGATCTCAGGCTGCATGTGTCAGGCCCCATCCTAGCCGGGGCTAGCCGTTTTTGTTTCCGGCCTCTGCGTGTTTTTTTCCACATGAGGATCAGAGCCGTTGAAATGGGCAGAAACATCAGGGTGCAGGGGGCCTTTGGAAGGCTCTCATCAGGTCATCCCTCCCCGCAAACGGGGCGCAATGTTCCATTGGTTTCCTCAAGGGATACCGAATTCATGAAGGGCGCCCACGACCAAATGTTCACACAGAGAGCAACTGCGGCTACCATGCTGGGTTTTTGCTGCGCAGGCATGCCTTGCACATCCTCATGGAGGCGTGGCTCAGCTACAGCCAATGTGTTTGTAGACCCACAGAGAAGAGCAGTGTTTAATTCGGCTATGTGTTTGTTTTGTTTAATTTCTGCAACCCCCACGGCTGTTTTGTCTCATGTCCAAAGGGCCCAAGCGTCCAAAAGCAGCCGTTGGAGGCTGCTAGCTTGTTGTTGAATGGATTTGTTAATTTTATGGTGTTTTCTGTTCGGACGGATTTTCTCGAAATCGGCAAGAAAAGAGTGTCCTGCTGACCATCGAAGCCCACTGCGCAACTAGCTTGTCATGCCCGGTTTAAGGGATTCGTCGTTGAGCATGCTTGCACCAATAGAAAGCCCCACGATACCTCACCCAACCTTGGCATGGTATCGACCAGACTTGGTGTGCGTATTGATTCAGTAAGCTGCGGCGGATCACAACCTGGCACCTCACCTGGTTGTACTCACCTCCAAACATAATTTGCATCACAGGGCTCCTTGAAAGATACATTTGGCCCATTTGAAACATGGCATTTTCCACCGAAATAGAGGGAAAACACAATTTACAAGGCAATGTTCAGGTGTATAATGTAAGGATCCCTGCGTCATCCAAGCAAAGAGAAGCCGCTTGGCGTACTTCCTGCAAAAACTAATGCGGAACTCCACAATGGATTTTCCAGAACTCACCATTTTAGTGTTTCTGCAAGCTCCGCAAGGTGTAAAGGACCAGAGAGTGGAGTGTTGCAAAGAATCGGGCTGGGGGAGCACGGTCGTTAACAAGAACAACTTTCCAGAAGATTGCATTGGGTACCTCACATTTTTTAGCCCTTCCTTAAAGAAGACCCGGCGGAGTTGTGTTTGGTTTTATTCTGTGGGGTCGCGAGTTGTGGCGTATAGAATTTCAAGAGTTACTCACATTTGCCCTGTTGCCATGATGAGTTGTGGCACTTTAGGCGACTGGTGAGACCCAGAACTCGTTCCATTGGAATCTTGCAAGGACTTCTGGTCCTAAACTGATGGTAGGAAGATGCCGCTCAATCAACAACTAAACAAAAACAATCAACAACTCAACAACTAAGAAACACAATCAACAACTAAAAAAACACAAAAGCGACTAACGGACGTCTCGATGGTCGGCCTTTTTTGCCGTGGCTTCGCCATCATTCCTTGGTCCCGGCCTTTCTTTCGGATGCCGCGCCGATCCGCCAGCCCTTCATGAGCTATCTGGCCACCTTCAGCCAGATGGAGCGGCTGATCTGCATGCAGAACATGCTGGCGAAGGCCCACGCGCTTACACGCAGTAGGCAGCCGGTTTTGTGGATCCCCGGAGTTGAGTGCGTTTGCTGGGCTGCGAATCATGAGACAAGAGCCCTTCGGTACATAGCAAGCTTTTGAGGGTTTGTGAGTGGCCCAGACTCCTCGTTCATAAATTTGCATGTTGTTCTTGTTCAGCACGTGCAGAGAGGGATCGACGGAGAGCCGGCAAGAGATATAAACACCTCCGCATGGGAACACGTCTGTCCCCAGGGCCACACGCGCCAGGATGTGTTGTTCCTGGCAACGGATCCACTGGAAACGGCACAGGCCGGCCCGGAAATCGAAGCGCGCGGTGTGCGTTGGAGCCACAGTGAGGGGTTTGGGCCGAGTCTTTCGTCTCACGTCGCCCCAAAAAGCTGGGAATGGGAATGCCGTGGCTTGACTTTGCATGTCCAATTTCTCTCATGGTGTTGCGGGGGTGGAAACCCTTTGAGCATCAACATGCTTTGCCACTGGCTTGCCTCACCGCGTGCAGCTTTTTGTGTGCTTGCTTGCTCGAAGTTTCTGCCAGACACAACTCAGTGTGTCTTGTTGGAGGGAAACCTGAAATGGTGGCGTCCCTTTTGGTTTTCTTTCCAAAATGATGCACCCACCTGGGATTCGGCAGCTCGGGCCGGCCAGGACATCGTGCAGAAGTCTTGCGAGGACCTTGTTTTTTGCCAGGCCCAGATGGGCATATCTTCACAGTTCTTGGCAGGTGTTTAGTTGTGCAGCGTTTTAATTTTGGGTTCTGCTCATTCGGAGTGGCTGGCTGCCAAAAGTTGTTTGTTTGGTCACATGCCAAGCTTTCACAGCTGAGAAGGAACGGGCAAACTGACTCTGTGTAGGCGCCCCGCATTTTATTTCGCACCCCGCATGAAACGCTGGTAAAACCAGCCGGGGAAGGTTCTTGAGGCTCGTTCATGGGCAGTCCCTCACTTGGCAGAGCCTGTGGCTCACCAGATGTGTCTTGAAATCTGGGTACCTCAAATGGCGATGTTCCTTCCGGCTCCGCTGTTTTCCTCTTTACAAGGCAAAGTGTGTTTATTTTGTACTTTGGATTCCGGGATGTTTCTCTGGGTGTATTTTAGGTTTGTATCTCATGGTGTACTTTCTGTGTACTTTCAATTGAACTTATTGCTCATCATAAAAGGTTGCCCATTGAGGTTATGTTGCCATGTTGCCTTATGTTTGCCCATTGAACTTATGTTTGCCTAGGTTCGCCATCATAGAAGTAGTCACTAGGAGATCTTGTGCCGCTGGATCAACTGTCGGGGGCCAAGAGCTGGGAACTTATCTGGCTTCGAACTCCGTTACTTTTTTGTTGGTGGTGCTCTTTTTGGGGTTGGTTTTTAGGGAAACCAAAGGGAAACCACCATTTGGGAGTCCCCAAAACAAGACACATCCATGTGATCCATGTGTATCCTTGTTCTGGTCGGTTGTCTTAATCTGTTAATCCGCGCTGCACAGAGCGATTCGAAGCCTGCTAAAGCATGAAGCACCCATGCAACCCACACTTCATAGTTCGCAAAGCACATAGTCCAGTCCGCAAACCGCACAATCCGCAATCCGCTAATCATTGGGGACAAGCTAATGAGAATCTGGACTTGTGCCGTCTGCTAGTTTTGGTAGCATGACCAGGCACCACACCAATAAGTTAAGCAGTCCAGAATATGTTTTTTTGATAGTTCATGCCTGCAGTTTGCAATATGGGTCCTGAATCTGGCCAAATCTCCGAGCTTGCCACCACAAGCGCCAAAGCAATCTTGTTTTTGTTGCCAAAAGGGCACAGCAAAAACAAGTTGGGTCCAGCATACATGAACTTGTGGTGTCTTTGCAGTATACGCACCTAGCAGCATGAGTGTATTGCCCTTGTCATGGAAATGTACCCACAGATAAATCGCACCTCTTAGCCAAAGCACATGCTTCGGCATGTCAGGTGCACATGCCTACATGAGATATGCCTTCAAACATCGCGGGCGCTGTATTGCCGTGGCGAATAACGTGTGATTCACGGCATGCGTGCCTCCCAAACTCCAAAGACGGTAGATACAGAAAGGATCCTGGGAACCCCCCGCAAGACATCGGCGACCAGCATTCGCCTCATTCTTTGCATCGGCATTTGTTGTGCAAATAACCGAGAAGCCCGCGTCTTACTCCCCACCCATGTCCGGTGAGGTTCAGAGAGTATGGCCACGATTTGCCCAAGGCAAGTCCTGTTAGACGGTCTTTCTCGAGGCTGACAGCCACAGGACCACCTCACGCAAGCACGTCTTGAGTCTTTGTCCACGTCACTGCTCTTGCGGTGGAAGTGACGTGACTCCTGTGTCCATTCGGCTGTTCATTTGATAGTCGTCGCAGAGTACACCTTGATAGTCGTCGCAGAGTACACCTTGATAGTCGTCTCAGAGTACACCCTATGTGTGAGGCCAAAGTGTGTGGTCAATGACCAAAGAGGGTCACGCAGAACCGCCATGTTTTGACCGCTTCCGGGCGTTTCAACGCGGTGCTTCTGGCTTCCGAAGGCTCTGATAGATTGGGCGTCAAACCCCTGGGTCCACCTAAAACAGCCAAAGGTCAAACCTGAGTTGGCAGTGGTTGTCAAAACCGTTTTGGGATCCCATTTTGGGATAGGTGAATTCACCACCCATTTTAGAACCTATTTTAGTGGTTGGATTGGGATCTTCACTGGGGGTACGAGGTTTTGACCCATGGCCAGTTTTGCACATGCCACGCAGCCATAGTCCCCAGGAAAAAATGTTTGTTACATCCAAACACTGCATGGCTACATTCACTTGCATTGACCCTAAGGCATCCGTTTGTCTTGACGAACCTTCACCAAATAAGATTTGTCTGAACTTGCAGGAGTTCCCAGCGGCCCTCCTCGACTCGCCCACACCCTTCCAGAAACCACTCTATGGCAATGACCAGCTTTTAGATGGCGCTTTTCTTTGGTCCAATGTAAAACTTCAGACATATCACATACATCAAACCAATTCAACCCAACAATGGCAATTCCCGTTAAAGGGTTGAGAGTCTCCGGGTGACATGTCGATCGATCGAGCCGAGGTATTCTTATGGAGGCAAAGCACCGTGCTCGGCCTGCCCAGCTTCCTGTTGGCTTCGCGCCGGCCGACCTACCCCTAACGGAACTTGTCACATTGGTGTAGTTTGGACAAAAGTTGAGCCCATATCAATCAACCCCAGTTTATGAATAGGGGGTGTTCCCATCCAAAACTAAAACCAGGGACACCCTCCTATTGATAAACTGGGGTTGATTAATATGGGCTCAATATCAGCCGTGTTTGAAGGCAAGATGTGTCCCTTCAAGATGGCTATCTCCAGGTCTGGGGCCAGGGGCCGGGGGGGGGTCGATGCCAATTGGAGGCTCGGGCAGGTGGCTGCTGTCTCATGGAGAACCTGGCACTTCATCCAGGTGTTTTTTGCTAGCTGCCCTTGTACCAACTTTTTTTTTGGTTTTTGGGTTCCCCTACTAAAATAGACCACAGAGAAAACACAGTTGGTACCCTTGTTCTAACCTCTCTACAGGAGGTCATAGTCATTATTGAACGCAAGGAGTGCGGGCGGTGTTAAAGCCGCCAACATATTTGGAGGCAGTATTTGTGCAAACATCCGCACACATCTCACGGCCGACATGGTTGTGGAAGTTGGGTTCTAGAGTCCACTCTTGGTCTTGCCAAGGGAGTTCCCTTTAAAGTAATCATGGGGACAGGAATCGTATTACAACAATTTCCACACGCATAAGGGCGTTTTCTAAAATAGGGAGCACCATCATTGGCGTTGAATGAACCCCACTTTGCTATCATGATAATTGCCCTCTCTTCAAGAATTCTGGAAGTGGTTTGCTGGCCTTTTAAAGCGGTTTATTGGCCTTTTCAAGTGCTTCATTGGCGTATTAAGGTGGTTAATTGGCCTTTTAAAGTGGTTCACTGGCCTGTTAAAGTGGTTGATTGGCCTTTTAAGGTGGTTTATTGGCCTTTTAACGTGCTTCATTGGCGTTTTAAGGTGGTTGGTTGGCTTTTTAAAGTGGTTCACTGGCCTGTTAAAGTGGTTGATTGGCCTTTTACAGGTCTTTTAAAGTGGTTCACTGGGCTTTTTAAGTGGTTGAATTGCATTTTAAGGTGATTGATTGGCCTTGTACAGTGGTTCATTGGCCTTGTAAAGTGGTTTATTTGCCGTTTAACGTGGTTTATGGGCCTTTGACAGTGGTTTATGTGCCTTTCAACGTGGGTTATTGGCCTTTTGAGGTGGTTCATTGGCATTTTCAAGTGGTTAATCGGCCTTTTAAAGTGGTTCATTGGCCATTAATATTCCAAAACAGTGCTGAACCTCGGCGATTGGTTCCACCCGAACGTGCGCTCGAGGCTTCCAATCTGCTCACGGCTGGGGACACCGAGCATTCCAGGCACGAGAATGAAGTTGGAACGGTCGGAAAATGGGTGTGGATCAAAAGCCTTACCCAGTAGAGGGTAGCACTATTTAGCCAATCATGCACCTCCGGGCACAAGTAGAAGGTCGCCATTTTTCTCCATTGGCCGAAAGGGTGGTTCCTTTCATTACGAGGGAAATGATCAAAGGCCCGGGAAAACCGGCAGTTTTGGGTCTTTGGCTCTATTTCTCCAAGCCATCCACTGGATCTCTAGGGGGCCTTGAGAGCGTTCTGGGGTCCTTTTGGGGGCTCTCTGGCCCTCCCCCCCCCCCCAATAGCACCCAGCACCCGGTAGGGGTCCTCGGATTTGACACAAAAGCCATGCTTCAAGGGTACTTGAATCTTTGGGCTCCACGGGAGCGCAGTTTTTTTTTAGAGTTTCAAGCTATGGACCCACCTTCGGAAGGGTTTCAAAATATGTCCCCGGGGACGCAAAGCATGGGATGAGACTGCCGGAAGGCCTTGCACCAACTTTTTTGGGGAGGGTTCGCCTACTAAGATTGAATACAGAACAAAGGGTACCCTGATTCTAACCTCTCTACTGGAGGACCTAGCCAACGTTATCTTCAATTTTGTTTGAATGGATCTGGAGGCAGAGTACCTGTGAAGCATGGTACCGGCTGAAACCATCAAAAGCATGATAGCGATCACCTTGGTAGCCGTGCATCGACACACAAATTGCTTTGGATTGGTTTGGGGAGTTGAACCCCTAGTTCTTGCAGAGGGCAAATGGACATTGTTGAAAATTAAGCCACCAATGCACCGCAGGTTTTAGTTTTTCTTTCCATTTAGCAGGGCAACCCGTTTGGGTGAGCCTGTTTTTCACCCACCCCCAAATAGGAGACCACCCCCTACCTGGTAACTTTTTGGGAAATCACGGGGTTTTCCACTAAACCCCCAAAAAGTTACACTTTTTGCAGGGGCTCAACAGCAACCAAGAAGCTACCTCCACGCCACCGGGCTCCAAACCATTTGGAGACGTCCATTTGGCGCCGGAACTTCAGGCAGAACTGGGCGCCTGCGGACAGCCAGAAGTTTTCCAGGAGGCAAACTGGGGCGAGCCATGATGAAACTCCGGGCAGAAGTGGTTTGGGGGGTCCCAGCTATTACAGCTCACTTGAGCCATGTCCTGAAAACCCTTTGGTAGATGAAGGGTAGTAAGGGGCAGTCCCAGCCAGAAATAGTTGCGGATATCCGCCTTCTTAGTTCTTTACATGGTTCTGGGTAGGCCATTTTATTACCGGGTTTTCATTGTGACTCACTTGTCCAAAGCGGATCCACATGTTTGACCGCAATCGGTTTTCTCGCTTTGATCCATTTGTCAAGGTCCCCAAAGGTTTACCTTGTATATCTGCGTCCTTTCTACTGAAATAGATAGGTGCACATCCCTATTATTCTATTGAGTTTTGGATTGTGAATCAATTTGTCTTCTACAGTGGTTCCAGTGACCATCGCCGATGAGATATGTGAAAGCCTTGTGCATCACACTGCCTGCATCGCACAGGACCTTCCTGGATGTTTGACGAGATTTGTCCGAAAATATTGTGAATGAAAATAGGAAACCTCGAATGTGTGGGTTTAAACTTCTCTTTCCTTTAAACCACCAAAACAAGGTTACCCTCGAATCAAAGAAGCACTGCAACATAAATTTCCCACATTTCTTTGTCTAGCTTGCGATGTGGATGTCATTAATGTTTATTGCGCATGCCTGGTTCATGACAGGTGCGGCATGCAAAGCTAGCGGAAGTCCCATCGCCAGATTCCATTTTGCGTTGGGCCTCGTGCCCTGCCTCGTTTCACGATCAGCTTCCCTGAATGGTCGGTTTGGATTGGTTGGATTCTGAAGTTCCAATCTGCTCACAAGATCCAGGGGTTCCAATTCCCAAGCCGCCAATTCAAGGCACCACTTATGGGATTAGCGAACGAATCTCAATGGCAGGGTGTTTCACTCCGATTGCAAAATCTTCGATTTTCAGAACTCTCCAACCTCAGCGTTTTCAACTCCAGATGAGAGCACCATGTTTTGGGAATGCTGGGGCTCTATAGCATTTCTTTTTTGGTTTTCAACTGGCAGTCAGTCTAAACATGGGGACCCGCAAAAGGAGCGGTTTTCCTTTTGGAGTCCTGTATAGGCCCAATAGGGGTAGAGGCGTATGACCAGGTTCGGCCCTGCAGGTTGACAGCTTATCTTCATATGGGTGTATCTTTTTTGGAGTCGGGGCCTTTATTCTGTGTGGTGAAAAAAGGGAAACCAACTGGATGACCAAAGCCATTTTGGGGGGATGAATTCAACAAAATGCTACCCACGGCTTCTTTAGTAGTTTTGTTCCTTGGCTAGACCACGTGATCCAAGTCAAAAAAAATGGGGTAGTACCTGGGGCAGGGGCAGCTTGGCAATCAGCTCACCCTTTTCAGTCCGTTTCGGTTTCATCCTGTTGGCCCACCTTTGCAGGGAGCTCAAACAGATTCCCGAATCGAGCAACGGTCTACATCCGTCGCTTACCGTCAAGGGGACGACATTGGGTACACGCACCAAACGAAAAGTTGAAGAACAAGTTGGTCACTCACCAACTTTCCATGTCATGGGCCACGGGTGGACATGAAGAAGGACCTTGGCTCATTCAAAGACTCTTTTTGAACCACACGTCCGTACTTGTGTTGGCGGTTGCCAGCCATAGCCTTGGATTTTTTTGCGTGAGGGATTTACGACACGGGGGCTGATCAAAAGGTTTTTTACATGGGATGACCATTGGGGAAAACCACAAAACAGACTCAGTTTCCACTTAATGCTACAAAGTGGCCCATGGTCATTGGGGTCCAGGAATATTGATCAACGCCCACAATCGTATCATTAAATTTACGGTGTGAGAGGTGCCGAGAGATCCGGACTCTCAACCTGCTGGATCCGTCTGCGTTTGCGCAAGACTTCCAGGAGCCGGCAGTACTGGCGCATGACGGCCGTTCCGGGGTCTTGCGGTCTATTTTAGTAGGGGAACCCTCCCCCAAAGGGTAAAAGGGCACTACTGGGGCACCTAGTCTTTGCCACTTGGGTCCTGTTTGGTTGTTTTGGCAAAAAAATAGATGGCGATTCCTGGTTTACCTGGTGGTTTAATTATTTACCAGGTTACCAGGCCCATCTATTTCTCCTAAGAGGACACCTATGCTTCCATGCTTTCCTTTTGCGCCATTCGTGGTAAGGTAAAGTGAGTGCCTTTTAGGGTGAACAGATGGTGAACAGATGGTGAACAGCCACGGAATCTTGAACCTGCACCAGCCAGTTCTTTCTTTTATCTCTCGCTTTGCGGACCAGCCTCACATGCAATACTTTCGATTTGGTTTCCGGTAAATGGCCTGCCTACACACGAGATAGGCTACGCTTTGGCACTTTGGAAATGAAGTTGTTCACTTGGCTGAACGCGACCTGTTGGTTCTTTTTACTTGCAACCGGTGTCCGTGCATGTTGCGCCGAATGCGCACTGTGGGAGGTTGGGTTGAGAGACAAAATCTCCCCGGCTTACCTTGGCATGGGTTTACCTTGTGCCAGTTGACAAATGGTGCAATGTTGAAAAGTGGTGCAATGTTTTCCTTTTTGGGGAAGGGCTTCCCTTCAAACTCAAGCGGCAAACAAAGGTGCCTCGTTTGTTAGTAGCTGTCCGATTGGATCTGGGTACAGCTCTTAGTGGGCTTGCCGCAGGATGGCAAGATGCTCACAGTGCTCTACGCGATGTTGAAATCCTACAGGCACCCGCTGTTGGGTGGGAGCGTTGGAAAGACAATTCCTTTGTACAGCAGGCGGTTGCAGGATGCATCCTCTACGGCGCCCATGGTAACTGTCCTTGTGGTTTCTAGGTTTGGTGCACCTTTAGACAGAGGTGCATTTTGCTTGGATGTTAGGACTTGAACTGTAACTTCTTGCCAACCAATGGGTTTTCCCATCAAACAACTAAAAGTTCAAAACTTTAAGCAGGGGAGCAGAAAACAACCGAGTACAGATGCTCCCAAAGAAGGTGCATGATGCAGGTCCCTTCACAATCCAGTGCGATCCCTTCCTCCTCTCCTCCAAGTGGTTACGTCCTTCAGCTTTGTTTCAAGGCGGGATTAATACCTTTCAAGTACCAACAGAGGTGCCCTTTTTTTTCCATGGCCACTGTTTTTTTCCTTCATGTTTGTGAAGAGAGAGAGAAAGAGAGAGAGAGAGAGTACATGGCCCAGATCTAGAGTGATGGATGACATTTCGTGGAGTCAGCTACAGAGGTTCCGGGTGAGACCCGCCCACATCTTTAATTACGTGCGCTTTAAATGAACTGCGCGAAAGCACCGGAGTTTATGGGGAATCACTTGTACGATCCAGAAGCAATGACGGAACGGCACAAACGGCTTTCAGACTCATTGAAGGCATGAATGAGTCAGGCATCACAGAGCTGAAGCAGCAGAACGCCGCCTTTAGGGCCTCTCAAGCTTTGGATTCAAAAGCTTGGAAAAGGCCAACCCAGGCCTAAGCCAATTGAAGCTGCCTGCGTGGCCCAGCGGAATTGCCAGGGAGAACCACGAGTTCTTGGATCCCTTAGACCTCGCGGCCTTCGATGAGACCCGATCTCAGCATTTTTGCTCGAGCACGGCGAAAGGGCTGGACACAATATCCCAGTCCAGGGGCTCGCTCTGCCATGTTCTTGCATGCTCAATAGCTTTTTTTGAGTGCTGTACCCTTGCGAACCAACTCGGGGCAACAGGCCTGATGCAGAAGTGTGACACAGTTTGCTTCCACTCCAAACAAGGATTCCCTGACGTAGACGCAAAGGGCCAACTGGCTCAAATTGGTGGCCACGCCTTGCACCACGCTTGCTATGCCGATGATGTTTGGCAAACCAGTTGCAATGTACCGGGGGGGGGGGGGGCTGATTCTGGGAAAATACTGTCTTCTGGGAAAATACCTATCAAGCAATGTGGTGAAACTGCAGAGGGGTTGGCCACGGGAACATGTGACTTGTGCCCTCGCGAAAGAGACACTGAAGCCGGCTTTAGACGAAGCTCATTTTCAACCCCCGCAACATGCAACAAGTATACCCTCCCACCCCCTAACATGAAACCTAACTAGGGCATTTTGGGAGCCCATGTTTATCCAACACGGTCCATGGCAACGTACCCAACGTCAGCCAATGTGGGAGAATAGAATGATTCGGTAAAATAGTTATACAACTTGCTGGGGTCATTATTTTGACGCTTTCTGGGGGTTGTCAAAGTCAGCAAATGGAATTGGTGGTTTCTCTTGAACCTACCACTGAACGGGGGTGACTTTGGTAGAAGAAGGCCAGCATTGCCCTCTGACCCGCTTGGCTGGGCCAAGCCACCGGGCTCCATGACAAAAGTATCTCAGGAAGGACAATGACCGGCGAGCCGCGGGGAGCCCGGGCGACCCTTTCAACTTTCGCAGATCAGGGCGGTATCGCTGGTTGGAAGGGATCGGTCTCCCAATGTGCTCACGAGGGAGCCTGGAGGGAGCTACCGAAATGGAGTTCCGGAAGGACATGGTAGACATATATATATAGAGAGAGAGAGAGAGACTCCTTTGCTTGTGGTCTTTTCCCCCTCAAAGGACACTCGGAATCTACCACTCGAGGCACGCTTGAAACGTTCCGTCTTCATCATTTTAGCCAAGGCCCAAGTTGAACACTGGTTCTGGCTGCGCTCAGCTGGTCACGAGTTTCAATTGAAGTTAGGGCTCCAGCAGTTCTTGAAACAGCCAACTCCCCTTTGGAGGGAAACCAGCAGGCAAAAGGAATACAGAATGCTCAGGTCAGTGAAACTCAGACCCATTTGCCGGGCTCGAACAGACGGGTCCCAGTTTGCCCTATGTTTGCATCCGAAAAGAACCCGTTTCTTGCCATCCATACAGGTCACTCAAATCTACAAATTACTTTGGCAGTGGCTTTTGTGGATCCACCCTTTGTCAAAAAGAGCAGTAAACTGTAATTCGAACCACATATTAAACCAGCTGAACATTGCAAGAGTACAGGAAAGATATCGTTCCGAACCAACTCAGTTAGCGCATCCAAACCATTTTCCACCTGGAGTCTCCATGACCCTCAAAAGATGGGGTCATTACCCAAAATGGCTGTGGGTCAAATCCAATGGTACCATTTTGGGGTAGGTGAATTCACCACCCATTTTAGAACCTATTTTAGTGTTCGGATTGAACCGGATGTTCACTGGGGGTACGATTTTGGATTTTGACCCATGGCCAAGTCATGGGGTCAGGGACCCATTTTAAAAGGGTCAAGGCCTCCGGGTAGACCATCTGTCGCTGAAGCTCCAGGCTGCCGCCTTGATCAACTTCAGCTCCCTGTCGCCGCAGCTGACTCAAAGGCCATGCCCGGGGATGTTTGGACCCCAACTTGGCCACGGCATCCTTCTGGTGTCCCCTGAAACCACTTGGTGGCTCCCAGCCATCCGGTTCCTTAGCTTTTTAGCCTTTTAGTGTTTGGTGGTGGTTTCCATTTAACCCACTAAAAGATAAACTTTTAGCAGGGGATCTGAGGGCAGCCGAGACCAGCCCGAAGATGGGGACTCCAAAAGCACATACCCATTTTGTGATTGGTTGGGAACACCCTCTGAAATTGTTAGTGGACATAGATATCATAAGTATCATGAACATGATTTTGCACCAGAGGATCGTAAGAAACATACCTTGTGGCAACACAACTCAATGTGGAATGATCTCCCAAATAGTTGGCTCGTGAACATGATGTACACGAAAGTGTCTCCAATTAGAAATACCGTTTGCCTGCAAGTTTCAATGAGGAACACTTTCCAACGTAGTTGGTGGACTACAAGCTTCAACGAGAAACACCCACCGGAATGGTTGATGAACATAAATATCGCAGACTCATGAACATGATTTGCATCAGAGGGTCTTCGACTAAGAATCACACATTTTAACAACACATGTGAATGTGCAAGGTTTTAATAATGGTTGGTGGACCACAACGAGCAATCAGGAACACCGGTAGCGGACATGGATATCATAGATGTTGTGGGTATGTCCACCAAGAAGGTCAGCGATTAAGAATCAAATCTTTTGGCTACACAGGTCAATGCGGAACACTCTCAACAGTTGTTGATGGACTACAAGTTTCAATGAGGAACACCTGCTGACAGATATGATAGTTTTCATGAACATGATGTACACGAGAGGGTCATACATTTTTTGACCACCACTTTCAGTGAGGAACACTTTCCAACATGGTTGGTGGATTACGAGTTTCAACGAGGAAAACTTTCTGACATGCGCTTAGTGGACATGCATATCGTACACTCATGCACATGATGTTCACCAGAGGGTCTCCCTTTAAGCATCATACCTTGTGGCTACAAGTTTCAATGTGGAAGACTCTCCAAACTGGTTGGTGTACAGCCGAGCGCTATTTGAAGCTTTCGGGAGATATCCCACCAGCTGACCGTGTTTGCCGTGTGCTGCGGTTGTATCTTCAGTTGAGCATATGTTTCATATGATGTCTTTTACACGCATCGATGTTGTCTCACAGCGCATACATGGCTTTAGGAATACCTCAAAGCACGGGAGTTATTTCCAACATATGGCAAGTAAACCAATCACATACTTGGGAAATCGCAAGGAGTTCCCATTCTTTGCATCTAGGAAACCTACCGTACCGGGGAACGAAGCCACAATCGTGCAGCTTTGGGTGGCGCTGGCATGCACAGGTTCGCGCTGAGTGTTGGGGACATTGCATCTGGGCGGCTGGCCCCATTGAAGCTCTCGACTTAGTGTGAACTTGTGGGCGGGAAAGGGGCTCTTGCAGAAGCGGCGTGGGCCGTAGACAGCGGGCCTTGGCCTATTCGTTGACGGGTCCTTGAGAATGGTTGGCTGCGGCAGACAGAAGGATGGGGGAGGGCAGGGGGGTTTGCAATACATGTTATTGATCGCAATTCCCAAAGGGGCTCCGAATATTGGGAATCCTCATGTGTGATCATGTTTGATTCCGAGCTTCTTGTGGCTCTGATCATTGCGAAGCAAGACTTTTCGGTCCTTGTTGCTTCAGTAGAAGCTTGGCACATGATACACCTTACGGGGTGACCATAAAGCAACAGCAATGCAAACAGATGAATACATCATACACGCATACACAATGACGTACATACATATTATATACACATATATATATATATAGCTATTTGATATCATATAGACATGTGACCTCATGATGCTACGTCTGAATTGGGGGACAACTGTTCCGCGAAGACTTCTTTTGAGAGCTGTTGCTGGTGTTTACCATGTCGCTGCCTGTATGTATTTGTACATCATTGCGTGTATGTGCTTGTACAACCCTGGACACACACACACACACACCTCTTGACCTGCAACAGATACATGCCGGTATACATGCATGGACAGGTACAGTTAAGCGGGGCCCCTGCTTGGTCTTGAGTTGTCGTGGCCCCCTTGCCACGAGGACAGCCTTGTGCGCAATCTTCCTGCGCGAGGTGCGCGGTTGATTCTTGCCAGATTGCAAGCAATGCATGCACCTGTGGACAATGACTGTGTGGACAATGACCGGGAATTCTGCATTCCCGACTTGCAATGCTTAGGGAAAAATGGTACAGTACTCACTTAGAAATCCCACAGTGGCTTTCGGCAGCTGCATTGGTCTGGGTCGTACGTGTGGGTCAAATAGTAGCTGGGGCGGGAAACCAGCCTCTACTAGGTCGACTTTGGGCCTAACACCTGGGGCGTACGTGACTTCAACGGGCATTCCTATAGGGCTTGAGCCGTTGGCTTAGATTGATTTAGATGCATATAATATGTATATATAATATGTATATCGTTGATGTTATGAGTTCATTTCAACACGGTGTGCTTGGTTCGGTTTTCTTCGCATGTTGGTTCGGATTTTCCTCGACGCGGACCTCCGCTTGGAGTTCGGTTGGTTTGGGGCGTGCCTTCGCGAGGCGCCGGGGATCCGAAGCTTCCTGCAGCAGGCGGCCAAGGAGTCGGTCTCTCGAACTCGGTCGCGTCAGGTCGGCTCGGAGTTCCCTCGGCAGGTGAATGTTGACCCCATAATCAACCCCAGTGAAAAAAACAGGGGTGTCCCTGGGTATAGTGGGGATGCATCACTTTTGGAGGAGAACACCCCCGTATTCATAAACTGGGGTTGATTGATATGGGGTGAACATTAGCTTCTTCACGCCATGGCTCCCTGTCCAGGTCCAAATGACCCAAACACCATCCTCAATGTTGACCCCAGATTCATCAACCATCATCAACCCAAGTTTATTATTAGGGGGGTGTCCGATTCTGGGTTTAGTCTATATAAATATTAGAACTTAAGATTAAAGCGAGTATGCTTTGGGTGATGAAAGCAGCCGTGTCTTCTGGGTCCACGTTTGGCAATATCTTAGGTCTTTGCCCTTGACCAAAATGGTCAACCAAATTAAGTGATATCCTAAGTTCGAAGTTGGAAGTAGACCAAGTCTTCAAGCACAAAGCATAAGTTTCAGCTGATTCATTGGAGACTCACCCCCAGTGCTTGCAAAAGGAAGCTTGACCTTGTGTCAAAATACACCCCAAAGATGTGCTTCGCCGAGCTTTGGCGGGGCGGAAGCACTGGAGGATCCCTTCCCAGTCTCATTCTCCAAGAACCCCAAAGATGGGCCTAAAGTATAGTCCTTTGTCTCATAAAAAACCAGCCCTGAGGGCTACGGAGTCAGACTACACGCCCAAATGGCGGAGTCCAAAGAAACTGCAAGATGTTTTTTATATATATGTTTTTTCCTCTTCCCTTTGACAAACAAGGAAAGGAGGGTCCGCTGTTTCGAGGACCCTTACTTGGGCAGCAGTTTGCGGGCTGGCTGTTTAAGCAGCAACAATTCGCAGGGCTGCCCATTCTACCGTGAACCATAATGAGCGAATTTGAGGTTGCCAAGCGCCAGCCAGAGAGGTTTTGCAAGAAGGGCAGGCACAAGTGCAAGCATTGACATCTTGCATTTGCCTTTGCATGCATTACCTTCGTTCTGTGCCTGTGGATAGGCACCTTTGGCCGGTTTCTCAGCGTTGACTCTCTAAGGATACACGGCGATTCATATTTACAGTTCTTTTCTACAACAGAGGTTTGTGGGTGTTTCCGAATTTCTAAACAAAGGAGATGGGTTCTTTCCCCTGTTTCCGTTTACAACCATGCAAGCATTTGTTCCGCCATTTCCAGATCACCCGACTGGGCGAATGGGCTTGTTTCGTCTCGCCCAGGACAGCCTTCACGTTTGGGAGGCAGACCGCATCTCTGGCCGGGGCCTTGGCCGAGGCTTAAGCATCAGACGCCTCCTTGAAGGAACCCACGCGTGATCTGACAGAAACCAAAAAAAGAACGAGGCGTTTTCAAGCGGCTACTGCCCAGTGTGCTCAAAACCGACCTTTTCACTCGATTGATTTCAATTGGAGGATTTGATAGGAAAACGTTGCCTGGTTTAGAATGCGAGTTCAACCAGAAAGCCGTGGCACCAGCCCGCGCGAGCAAGTTCTTGCAACCGCTTTTGGTGTCCTTTTCGGTCAGGTGGTTGCAATAGATGGGACTAGTTTCAGTTTGGCAATGTGTTGCCAGTGGAACCCATTTGTTGGGCAGGCTGTTGGGCCGGTTCGGAACGAGTATGCTCCATGCGATGCAGATAGTTTGATCGTTCGGTTGATAAAGCTTCAGGAGCATGAGCTAAATCCGCTGCTTGAAAGGATACCACAGGGGAAGCTTTATCCTCCCCATTTGGAGCAGGCCTTACTTGCGCACTACTCAATTTACACGTTACCACGATAGAACACAGGACGCCTCGAATTGCACGAAGCAACTCGTTCCCCGAACGTCCTTCTGAACAGGCACATAGCAGCAACACCCATCAGGCACGGCTTGTGACGCTTGCCGAGTTTACTGTGATGCCATAAATATTGCAAGGCCAGGAATTACTGCACCGATTTTCACGTGGGTTTCGTGGCAATGACCCTTGTCCATTTGGTCAGGCGTTGGGATTCAACGGCAAGAACATGGGGTTCTAGGCTTGACACATTCCATGGGTCACAGGGCCCTACAACTGCCTTCTTTGGGGGATGCGCGGGCCCCCCGAAAGTGTGCAGGTGTCCTTTTCAAGGTACTTTGAAGGCCTAAAGCATGGTGAAAAAGGTTGTGGGGTGAATGTAAGACCAAACTAAGTCATGCTGAGAGAATCATGTGTAATTGGTTTACGCGGGACCCAGTGCTTCCAGTTACTATCGCAGGTAACCAGGGGAAGCCATCCATGGTAAAACCTAGGCCTAGAGGTAAGGATCAGGAAGGGCAGGACGGCCATTTGGCTCTCGCGTGCCGTGCCGCACGATGCTCAGGTGGGGAGGGCAAGCGCAGGACGATGGCCATCTCCAACTCTCGGAACGGCTTTTCTAGGCGCGGGATACTTCGAGGAGCCAGCGAGCCAAGGTCCCTTGATCAACAATTCTGCTTTCGGGTTGAGGACACTAACATGGCTGTGGGTCAAAAATAGGTACCCAAAGTGGGTTGCCCTGGTAAATGGAAACATGGACTAAAACCTTCGGTCCCCTGGTGGTTTAATTTTGACCCATAATTACCCATATGGATCCAGACATTATATGGATTTGAATATTTGGCGGTCCCAAAGCTTCAAATAGCGGTCTCGCGGTCCCTTGATCTATTTATTATATTTGAAGACATATGGATCGCAAAGTACGAACCTGCGAAAGTTTGTCAGATCCACATTGGGGATCCGCGTTGACTTATGGGGGCAGACAACTCAAAGACGGACGTGGAAACTCCGCGAATTCTCTCATTGTGGGTCCTCACCCAAAAGAAACACCCGGCCATTTTTCAGGCTTCTCTAGCCTCCCCCAGGCTCAAGTGAACCCTGTCAGGTTCCATGTTGGACAGGAGGATACTTAGTTTAGGGAGATCCATTGGGTCTTAAAGACTCCCCCACTGCCAAGTAAGACACCTTCATGGGGTGCGGCATGTCGCACTGGCACGGTCTGAGAGTGCTTGCGTTGGCTCAGCCCAGCGCAATTCTAAGATGTCCCGCTTGCTTGGATTTCCGGAGCATTTCTGCAGAGCTCGCCGGCGAATCCAAGCCCGCCATCTGAAGGTCCCTTTTATAGTTTCTCATCTTAAATGTGTGAGTTGTCTAAGTCCCCCAGTAGTGCCCTTTTACCCCGTTTTTGGGGGAGGGTTCCCCTACAAAAATAAACTACATAAAAAAAATCGGGTACCCTTGTTCTAACCTCTCTACTGGAGGACCTAGTTGTAGTTTGTGCTGAAGCATGCTAGCTAATATTGAGACATGTCTAGCATTCCTAAGAGGGCGGGAACTAGAAGACCTCTCGGCCCTCGTCTACCGCACCACATTATGTCGGCGACAGGTGTGCAAGGCTCATGGGGCTTGGATTGACATGGCTCCCTGGTCAAGGCTTTGCCAGGTGATTTTCGGTCAATTGAACATCAACCCCTGGTGTTTTAAGGGGGGTTTCCGAGTTCGGTACTCCTTCACTTTTGGGGGACGCCCCCAACGCCAAGGGGTCGAAGCTCGTCTCATTTCTTCCGACTCCTCTTATCGCGTATCTCAAGGAGTGCGTGGCTCAAATAAACTTCCATGACCAAATGCAGGCCACCTGGAATTGTGGACTACTGCTCATTGGCAAGGCAAAGGGACCCCCTAGAAAAGTTGACACACAGTTTTTCGCAGCGACCCAACAAACCGGCAGCAGACCCCACCTGTTGCCCTTCCCCTGTATATTTTCCTACGGATGTGGATGTTCCACGTCTCAGTTGCACCCACCCTGGCAGGCTGACGGACGTGCACCAGCAGGCTGAGTCGAAAGCGAGGACCTAATTGAACTCCTTGCTTTTTTTTGTTTGGTGAGGGATTTCACCGAGAAAGGGGGTAAAACGGGGAGATTGGGGACAAGATATAGATTATAGGGGATCTTGGAACGCGCTTGTCGGTTTTGGCGTTGTAGAGTTTGCGGATGTTTATTCCATGATTTGTCTTTTGGGAGGTGTTGTATCTCATGCCGCATGCCTGACGCGACAAGCAAGGAGATTCTATTGCTGATCTGCTAACACGACCCGGCTCCAGTTTGAAAAGCTTGCCCAGGGCGTCCAGGCTTCTGCTTTAGGGGGAGTACATGGAGCCCATAATTGAGGGCTTCATAAGTGGTCTAGCCTCCCCTCCTCGGTCCCCCAGCTAGCTGCCCTTTTACCAACTTTTTTGGGAGAGGGTTCCCCTACTAAAATCGACTACAGAAAAAAGGGTACCCTTATTCTAACCTCTCTGCTGGAGGACTAGCCTCTCTATATAGCCCCCCCTGGCGGTCCATCACATGACACTTGGAGTTGTTCCAATTCTAGGCTGTGCTACGAGCGCAATGGCGAAGCATGCTCGCCCGGTCGGCAGCTATTTTGTCCACGAGATGATAGGTGTTATTGTCTCATGTTCCTGATTTCGAGTAAAAACAAGGGTGTCTTAATTTATTTGTTTGGCTTTCCCAAAGTGGCAGTTTCTTTTCAACCCATCAGACATGTCCATTGGGGGAAACGAGTGCCTCGTGCAGGTCTTGGAATTGCAGTACCCCATGGCGCGCATCATGCATATGCCCACGGCTAAGTCTCAGAGCTGAATGTGTGTGTGTGTGTGTGTGTTGCAATAGGGACCACCAGATGGTGGTTTTCTTTTTCTTTTTTTCTTTTTTTGGTTAAGTCAAGCCCAAACAGGGTACCCTCAAGAAAGCATTTTGTGGTGAGGCTACCGTTTGGTGCATTTTGGGTGCCCGGTTTTTAGGACTCAAGGACACGCCCAAATCAATGGGAGTTTCGGTCCAATGGCTTTTGCCCTTTGTCTGCATTTCCCATGGTTTACCCGTGGGTACATTGAACATGTGCCAGGTCCAGAGTGCTCATAAGATTCCTGGAGGTTTCCTGTGAGGAAACAGATTCCTGGGATTTTACTGATTTTGCGCAGGGTTCTACTTTTTGACCCAGGGGTGGTTCATTTACCCCAAAAGGGGAACCCTGGGTTTAAGTTCTTGGGGTAGCCAAAAAGTGGAACGCTGATTTTGTGTTTTAAGGTTTGCTCAACAAGTCTGGGCAAAATCTCCTAGGGGAGCGGCCCCAAGACCATAGGTTGGGCCGAGAAGAATATGCTTGGGGAAATTGTGTGAAGGGCCCCCTTCCAGTTCTTCGTGCACCGCGAGACTTTGAAAGGTGAGAAAAATGTACATATTGGGAATTGTGTGTAGAAAAAACAAGGAAGGTCTCAGGCCCGATGTTACTCCTGGCTTGCGGTTACTTTTGGCTTGCCGTTTTTTTGTTTGGCATTTAGGGGAAGCGGATTGGTGTCGAGGGGGCCATCAATATACACAGTGGTTTCTCAACAAACTGGGAACCTCCATGCTAGGTGGTTTCCAGGTTGGTTTCCCAACCGCCATCCAAAACGGTCCGATTCCCTATTTTGAGAAGCGGGAAATGATCAGAGGCGCAGCAAATGACCTGTATAGATTAAGCTCTCCCTGCTGTGGATGACGACGAAATGCTGCATCGCCTTGAAACCATTACACCAAAAATATGAGAATTGTTTCTGAGGTTTTTTCCAGGGGAACCGACTCAGAGCCCAGGGTTTCATTTCATTGCTGCGGGGCGAAAATTTCGGATGTCGCCGTCGAAGCATCAGGTTCCAACGTGCAGCGGGTGACTCGGCCTTCGCCGAGCTGATGGACTTGTCGAGGAGCGCGTTGCTTTGGTGCGAGACGGTGGTCCTCGAAATCCATGTCGCACCACATTGCTTGGTGGCTCCCAGCCATCCGGTTCCTGAATTAGCTTTTTAGCTTTTTAGGGTTTAGTGGGGATTCGGGACTTCCATTTCACCGACTAAGAGTTAAACTTTTAGCAGGGGATCTGAGGGCAGCCCAGGTTGGTTCAACGGGAAGCTAGAAAAAATGTTGGTGTTTGCAAGGGCATCAGAAACCAGGGTTTCTTTGAAAGGTTTGGTTGGTATTTATGTTGGGGAATCGAATGTGAAAAATTGGGTTTCTGAGTTCGAGGACCCATCCACAGGCCCAGTGCTTCCGATTGGCGTTTCGCCACTATAGGTCACCCTTTGGGATTAGGAAATGGCCGGAATCTTGGAAATGAACCGGAAGGGGATTCCCGAAAAAAGGAAAACCAGGGGAAATGGATGGATTCTAGGGGGTAATTCCGTGTCTTATTCTGTGCTAAAAACCAGCATGAAGCAAAGAAGACCAGTCCACTTCTCACTGGACTTTAGACACTTTTTGGGCTTTTGGGCTGTATGCAAAGTTTGGCGACCTTTTCTGGCCAATCCAGTCAACCAAGTCTTGAGCACGATTTGAGGTTGATAATTTTATTTGTTCATTCCACACACACACATTGCAGAATGGGAAAGGATAATAAATATGGTTGACAATGGGGTGTCCCATTAAACAAGTTGAATCCTGAAGACTTTTCGGAAAGGAAACCCGAGTCCTAAGATATCCCCAAGAAATCCGAGGAATGGGCCATGGGCATTCGCGGGGAATGCAGGGAATCCAAATCCTTTGGGCATTCAGGGGAAAAACACAACCGTCAAAGGCACAACTGCTTAGACAACGCCGGGCAACCGAAACAGGTCAGAAGCTACAGACAAAAAGGCACCAGTTGGGATGGATAAGGCCCTCTGCATACTGACTGTCCGAACTCACCTGGGGGTTTTTCACGAGCTCAGCATGATAAAGGTCCAATTTGCATGAGGATTCCTTAAATCAGCTTTTGTGATTATGATGACATTTGCAGAATACTGGGATAAAGCTACAGTCTGGCTTCCGTTGCCCATCCACAGGCTGTGCCTGCCTGACGAGCATCTTTGGAGCTTGGGCAGACTGGCCCCTTGGCTTTGGAAGACGCCTGACATTGCAACAGTCCCTACCAGCACCAAAGTCCCAACAATTGCTGTTTAGACCATGTCCAAACTCCCAAGTACTGGTGGTTGGGGCCCAATATTTTCAATTTTGATGAGTTTAAACAGTTTAAACATCACCTTTTGTGTGATGCGCTAAGAGGGAATATAGGGAACCCTGTTTCAATGACCGTGTCCAGAACGTTTCACGAGGCGCTCGAATAAACCAGACATCGTGCCGAAAGGCATTTCGACGGACCTCAAAGAAGATATTTGGCATGAGCTTACCCACAGCAAAGTTAGATCGATGTTGGTATTTTTCAGGATGCTGAATTTGGTTTCAACATTGCCCACTGTTTCCATGGATTCTCCAACTTGGGGCCCCATATGGTTGATTTCGTGCTAGTCTCCCTTTCACTTCGAAACAAAAAGGGTGCGACTTTAATTTCGCCGGAAGCGAGCGGTTTTTCGAGGAATTCAATCCTTGGTGGCTCCCAGCCATCCCCTTAGCTTTTTAGCCTTTGAGTGTTTAGTGGTAGTTTCCATTTAACCCACTAAAAGTTAGTCGCTTTTAGCCGGGGATTTGAGGGCAGCCCAGAGGCGAAATCCTTAGCCGCCCCAGAGTTCCTTCGTTTCTGGCGACCAGCACCTGGGTCGGTTTCTCGGTGCCCAAATCGAAAGCCCTAGCGTTTCCGAGTCGGTGACGGAGCTCCTGCTGCGCTGGGTGAACCTCCAGGCGAGGGGTCTCCCATCTCAAGAGACACGCGGGTTGCTCACCGGCCTCATTGGTGCCACCAGTTTCCGTGGCAGGTCGCGGGCTCTGTGACGCAGGAGCAAGCGGCAGCCTCAGCCAGCGAACCTTGACCGTTGAGATTTGGCTGTGGGTCAAAACCAATGGTACCATTTTGGGGTAGGTGAATTCACCACCCATTTTAGAACCTATGTTAGTGGGGGTTGGGATGTTCACTGGGGGTACGGTTTCGATTTTGACCCACGGCCACATTTCGATGAACAGATTGCCTGATACTATTCTGGGCAAACTATAGCGACCCCACGTTTCCCTGGTGTTTAAAGCACTAGCCAGCCCGTCAATTTATTCATTGTCACGTGCGACCTGTGTTGTCAACTTTTCTAGTCTGTGCAGAGACGCCCCTTGTGCTCTTGAAAAAGGATCCAGTGCGCGCCCAAGTTGCAGGGCAGAAGCATTTTCAATGCTAATAAACATGTTGGTTTGCTCACTCACCCAGCAAGTCCAGGCATTTTGACAAGCAACCTCAGATATTTCCCAGGGGAACGGGACCCTTGGAGCAACCATTGGCCTGGCAGTTGGTTCACGAGAATTACATGTGCGTCTCAGGTTGTTGAACTTCAATCTACCATGCTGACTGAGGCGTCCTGGAGAACTAGTTTCTTCAAGGGACCCTTTTGTGGGTTCCATGTTAGTGGACAGAGGGTACCCAATGTCATGCCATGCTTCAAGGACGGTTGTCATGTACCCCTGGGGGCTTTTCTGAAAAAAAAGCAACCCCCCGCAACTGGCAACCCAGCAAGGGCTCTGTGAACAGCTGTTGAAGTAGAGGTAAATAGTTGGAAGGCTTTACACTGCCTGGCAAATAAACAAAAGGAGAGTCCTCTACACATGATGTGGTTTAGGCTGTGGGCTAATCGGCTCAAGTCGGGAGTGACCGGGCAGGCAACTCCCGCATGTATCTATATATATATAGCGCAACGAAATACCTGATCTGAGCAACGGTGGCTGGAATTGAGGTTACTGACCAAAATCCCATGTCAGAGGATGAATACTGAGTGGCGTTTCAGTTGTGAATAGGAAATTGCTCAGAGATCCCTCAGAGTCCTGACTATAACTCACTGTCACACACAGGTCTGATGTGACTCACATGT